ACTACGACTTCAATGTTGGATGAATTTCTTAAATTAATTTGGAATGTTTTTCTGACTTTCTATTACATACTTATCAGATTTCACATAGACAAGTTGCAATTAAAAAACAGATTGTTTTTTTTTTTTAAATCTGAACAGAAGCACAGTGATTTTTTTTTTTAAAAAATCATGTAATTTTTTATGTATTTCCTGGTTATATTGAAATTAAGATATCCTCCTTTGCCTGCTCGCCTCCTTCCAAAAACGCAGAGGCATATAAAAAACACAGAAAGTCATCATAAAATCCCAGCCAAACCAAAGCAACCAAGATGAAAGCACATTTAAAAGCTCTAAGGTTCTGTAAGCTTTCAAAAGCAGGACATTACTACCATGACAACCAATGAAAAGTTCTTTCAAGTGAACCTTTGGGGAAAACTATGTAACATTCATTACTCTCTGGGCTCTTTAGAAATAAACTTTTACTTTATTATGCCTGCCACTGAAGCTTGTAAATTACGTTACTCCCCTCAGTTACTCCCCCCATTCTGTACCCTGCCCTCTCACTCATCTACTGCTACCCATCCTTGAACTTCAGCCCATCTATAAATGAAACCGCAGGGCGATGAGCTACTTTATAGCTAGCCACTATATTTGGTAAGATTTGCCTCACCAACAGTGTGTCTCATAGTTCACATTTGCGCTTAAGTAGTTACATAAATCAAAGTTGCCATACCGCTTTTAATAATCTCACTCTGTGTATATATATGATATATATGTATATATGATATATATGTATATATATATCTTGTAATATGTGATATATAAGTATATGACATGTGATACATATGTATATATCATATATATCATCATCATAATATACATGACAGCATTCCGTTCCCCTACACAATTTTCAAATATCAATGCAACTACTGAGTTTCATTTTTTTTATATGTCAACAATGACTCCATATATCCAATAATTGGGTCCATAACTTTCCGAAGTTTTCAGTATTCTTGTGATGGAGTGATGGAAGTCCAGTGATTCATTGAAATATAAAACTATTTAGGATTAAATAATCTCATGCCCTAAGTGGAAATTGGAAGAACTTTAAGAATGCACATCCCTAACTTTAAAAATACTAAAGCCTTAATAATGTTTCCAAGGGCTAACTCACTCATGCTAGTGACAGAAGGATTTCATTTGCCAACATCATTTATTGCTTAGCATTACTCCATACTAGACAGAATAAATGGAGGCATAGTGTAACCAGTACGTCTGCTCATTCACTTCTGACTCCCATCTGTGCATGTTATCCATCCTAATAAAGAAAATTTATCATAATGCAACTTAATGTGATTATCCTTCAAATGGCTTCTGCTTCCATTGAACAACAGCCAGCATTTTCAACTTGGAATTCTGCAAAACTCTCTTCTGATTCCTCTTTAAAATGCAATTCACAGCTTGAGATCCCAGAGCCTGCCCGTGGCTGAATGGCTGCACTAGGCGGCTGAGAGTCCTTCAATTAAGCAGCAATTTTGCAATTAGTGGAAACGGAGTGCTCCATAACAATTGTTTGAAAACAAGTTGAGACAAGTGAGCAATTACCCTATTAAAGAGATATATTTACTTTCACGGGACTCAAAGAGCCCCCTCACATAAACTGAAACCTTCTCCACAAGGAGACAAACACGGGCTGAAAATTATGTTTTAATCATTAGAATGAAATCAGAACAATACAACTGTTGCAGCAGGAGTGCCTTTCATAAAAGACAGTCAGCAGTGTGGCTGTTGCCCCCTTTCTGTGTTCTGTTTTCATTCAGGAAATCCACAACTGCTCTTTGGTCTACTCTAGGACTAGATTCCTACATCTTAAATTCTTAATGAACTACTTGTGTGTGACCTTTCCTTCCAAGGCATACATCTTAGATTGTCTTGATGCTTAGAAGATAAACTTATGGAGCCCAAACCTGCTGGCTGTGCTACATTTTACAACGAATAGGGACATAGAGTTGTGTGGGGGAGGGGTGGGGGAAGGGTTTTACGGAAGGCTTTTAAAGATGAATGCAAGAAAGAATGAAAACAAGCTGGTTGCTATACTATCAGGTGGGCGTGCTCAGCCTGTTCTCTGTGCCAAGCTACAATCCAGAGCTACTTATATTTGGAAGAAATGAGATTATCAATCATTTACATTTTAACTACTAAAAAGTTGGGACTCTCAAAACATTTCAGGAAGCAGGGAACAGCTTACATTCTAATGTTGCCCCCAGAAAATCCAAGGACTTTGAGCTAGGATTTTAGAAATTTGCCTTTACATTTAATATGATTTCTTCTTCCCAGCAAGTCAAAATGAATTAGAAATAACCCAGCTCCTTTCCCTCTTGGGACCTTTAGGAGATTTAAGGAACGAATTTACATAGCAGAGGTGAGGATGGCGGCACTCTAGCCAAATGATCACTCTCTAGGTTCCTCTTGTTTGCAATTAAAAGTTACGTGCTTCCAGGAGGGCATCCTAAAACAGATTTCCTAAATGCCTTCGTTTCTAGATACATACAGGGTGACAATCCTTTCAAACGACCTTAAGTAGCACCCTAAAATACACATGATTTCTAATTACCAACTTCGCTCTGAATGGGCTGTGAGAGATTCTAAAAGTATGTGAAAAATTACTGTTACTCTACTTTAAAAAAATGTTATGTCTAAGTGTGTCTGCAATGGTCTATTGCTTCAATATGTGTACGTCATGTACACCAGTCTTGTTTATCTGGAAGTTATTCCTTTCTTCCTAAATCACTCATAAACAGGAACATTTTAAATTACTTAGAACAGTTTGCTATATAACACTGCATTCTGTGTCATAGTATTTACTATTAATGTTTACCAATATGTGTCCCATTTGACAAAATAACATAGAAGAAAACCAAAAACAACTTTATGGTTCTGGAACTCCAATCATGGTAACTACCATATTTCAAATTCCAGTAAAGATTACATTTCAACAAGTGTCTGTTTCCTTTTTTCTTACCTTCAGAGATAAACTTGAAAAATAGAAAACAAAACAAAAACTCCAAACCTTATGCAAAACCAGGGAACTGCAGTAACTATTTGAAAAACTCCCTAGGGTTATTTCAACCCCTGTGCAAAGGATTAAGTCTATTATGTGTAACAGCTGGAAGCGCTCCTGTTCTAACGTCAGCTACCTCCGACCTGAAATCAGTGTCGCCTGTGGCAAGCTTAGAGGAGCCTGGATGTTTAGCAGAATCAAACCCGTAAATAAATAAGTAAATAAATAAATAAATAATGCAAAAAAAAAAAAACAAACAAAAATCAATCCTAAGATCAAAATGGCTTTTGACCTTATAACTAATGTATTAAAAATCGATTTCGGAGAAGAATTAAAAGAGGGATATATTCTCAGTAAGTTGATCCAATTGTTGGGAAGGGGGACTCATTTAACCTTTTATATACAATTAGATAACAATGGTTGTTCCTAGTTATACACCGCTTTCTTTTGAAATACAACTTCTAGAAGGTTTAATAAACAGGGAGAAATATGCTTCTAGCCAAGAACATCCTGCATTCGTGTGAGGGGAAATAAAAAGTTCGTTGGCTGTTGTTGATACTTAGAAGTATATTGCGGGATACCGGGAGGACCCTGAAGTAAGATCCAGAAAGTCCCACAGCTCATCGTCCAGGGTGGATCGTCAAAGCACCCCAGCCACTCAAGGAAAGAAGCGCAACAAGTCAAAATTCCAAGCCCGAGCCGCACATCTCAGGAAGCTGTCCGAAACAACATTCAACAAGTTTTTTGCTCACACCCCACTAAAGATCAGCAAAACTGCCCCTAAGAACTTCCCCACCCCCATCCGACCGCCCCCAGCAGCTGCTCTTGGCACTGTGGCCGGCAGAGGGCACCCTCTACCTTTCTAGCGCAGTTCTCCGGGCCCTCCTCTCCCTCTTCTGGATCCTCCCTCTACATCTTGCTCTCCTCCGCCCCCCACCCGGGTCCCCATACCCAGTACCCTAGTCCAGGCTCCACCTCCAATTCACGAATTGTTTTCACTAAAACACCAGTTCACCCCCGCAGCCTGTGGCTCACCCACCCCCAGCCTCCCGGGGACAGACCCCCTGGGCTGCAATTTCCCCTTCTCCCTCATCGTCAAGCACAAAACTCCAAGCCCCCATCCTCAGCTATTTCTTTCCAGCTTTAGCTCACTCATCCATCCCTCTTCCTGCTTCAGCATCCCCAGAAACCAAAACTAGTTGTTTCATCCTCCATAGACACCCAATCAATTTCCTGACGAAAGTCAAAACTTTCACTTCCGCGGGAGGATGCCCTAAGGGAGCCCCGCAGGATGGGCAGAGGGTCGGGTGCAGGCTGTCTGGGAGTTCCGCAGATCCTTTCAGGCCCTAGCGGCAAGAATGGCCCCAAGTTTTTCCAGTTACGTTGGCCTTGGACCTGTAAGTAAGCCTTGGTATTACTCCCTGGAGAGCAGGTGACAGTGTACAGCCTGTGTGATACCCAGGAAAGGACACGAGGGCAGAGGGCGCAAAGATCCACTCCCGGACCCCACACCACCGAGGTCCAAATCCGCTTGGAGAGTGTCTAGCTGATGGTAAGGGATCCCATCCCAGCCCTGACCCGGTGCCCTCCGTCTGAGCCCCCCGACAGCTGGCGCCCTACATCTCTCTCACCACCTTTACTCGTCTGCGGGAGGACTTCGGGGATCCCCTGAACGCAGGCTTAGCTCCCATGGCGCAAGTCGTCCTATCCCCTTGGCCTTTTCTCTGGCACTGCAGGGATTCCCGGGGTCCCGCAGTCCCTCCGGGCCGTGGGCTCCAGGGAGAACGCTCCTCAAGAGCAACCCCGCCCCTCTGCTGTCACAGGACGAAGGTGAAGCCGGAGTTCTGCGGTCCCCACAACTTCTCATCGCCCCCCCCCCCCCCCCTACTCCCCAGCCAACTTTCCCGGGCGCACGCGCCGCCGGCTCCCGCGCTTAGCCCCACGCCCCGCAGTCGCCTACCTCGGGGTCCACACAAAGCTCTCGGGTCCCCGGCAGCGGAGTCACATCGTTGTCACGCTCTTGGCCCCTGCGCCCTGTCCCGGGCCCCGTGCGCTTTCCCGTCTGCCCCACAGCAGCGGTGGCGGCAGAGGGAGGAAGCCGGTCTCATCAAAGCTTCCCCAGGCGGAGGTGGCGCGTCGCCCCAGGCGGCCTCCTTCTCCAGGCCCGGGAGTCCCCGGCGCGGCGGGGACCGTGCGACTGCCAGCCAGCGGGTGCGCCCTGGCGCGGCGGCAGCGGCGGGCACCCGGAGCTCAGCCAGCGCCAGGCTCTGGGGTCAGACATTATTTAGCTCTTCGGTTGAGCTTCGATTGGTCAGACAGCGCCGCCCCTATCCCCTCCCTGCTCCGCCGCGCCACCGATACCCATTCGGGGCGTTCGCTTAAAGGGGACGCCGCGCCTTTTCCTCTCGGGGGGCTTAGCCCTCGGGGGCCCTCGGGGAACCCCTGACCGCCCTGCACCGGCTTCTCGCCATTTCCCGGGAGCCCGCCGCTTAACCCCAAAGCCCTGCGCCTGCCCTCTGTGGCCTCCTCAGGGTGCCCTGGGTTAGGGGGGGTGGTCGAATCCCAGTTTCCGGAACCCTGCTCCTGGCAATGTGCCCCCAGAACATGAAAAAGCGCTTGTGAATCCCACGCGCCCAAATCTTTCTCCTCTGGTTTGCAACTCTTTCCATCTTTCCCATCCCAGCACCCAAGTTCTGTGGGAGAGGGCGTGCATTTCCCTGCCCCAGACACACCTTCCCGCACCTTTTCTCACCACAGAGCTAGGAAAAAGAAAACACACACACACACACACACACACACACACACACACACACACACACACACGCACGCACACACACACACACACACACATACAAAAAAAAAACCGAGCACACAATGAAACTGCACAGAGTGTGCGGGGGTTATGGTTTAACTCCTCTACCTTAAACACATCAGCTTAACCAGAGTTCGCGCCCTGACCTCTCCGGAGTTTGCCTAATAGAATTCAATCAAGATAATAACAGTATTTTTTATTAATGAATAACCCCGGATAACATTACACCAAGTTACTGCTTCTAGCCGGGAAGCCTAGGCAATAACAGACCTCACTAAAGCCATATGCTTCCCAGCAGAACAAACGGGGGGGGGGGGGGGAGAAAGAGAAAGAAAAGAAACCCACCTTTTTCAGTCACTACTTGTCAAAGTAAACATCAAGGCAGCTGCTCTGGGGAAGACCGGTCCCCAAGGTCCTAGACTCTTACTATATTTTTTCCCCTTCCCTTCGATTAAAAGGGGGAGGGGGACGAGTCTTTGGTGGCCGGTATGTACTCCTGTTCTGCAGCAAAGAAGTTAAATTATTGATAGTGGAAATTGCATGGCGGAGGTAATACTCGCACGCCTTCAGCGAGAAGCTCCATTTGATCTAGGCAGAGGCTGGGAGATTTCATGCTAGCTCCGGGGGTGGGTGGGGGGAGCGGCAGCGCGAGCAGTCCTCTCCTCGGTGAATGGGAAAGTGGGTGGGAGTCCACGAGAGGGCTCCACGCTGCCTTGACGTGAGCTGTCATATGATACCTCCTCTGCCTCGAAATAGACACTCTAGTGCACGAATTACCAGAATCAGAATTCCGCGCATTTAAAATGATACATCTTTTATTAGAAGAATTCCGTTCCAGGGTATTGCATGCTTTGTAGATGTTTTCACTTCCAGTCCTAGCGAACACACACACACACACACACACACACACACACACACACACACACACACCAAGCCTTTCATTATCCGGGCAACAACACATTAAAAAAAAAAAATCTTTAACCAGAGTTTAGGGTGAGGGATGGGTGGGGTGAGTGGCTCACTAAGCCCCTCTTCCTCTGGAGTAGCGGGTCTTTGGGCTTCTCTTTTGCCTGTAGTTAAGAACTATTTTCATTTAGATGTATGATAAACTCTGCCAAGTGTCTACCTGGAATCCTGCTTTGTTAAATGTTCCTCATTTAATCCAACCAGTTAGTAAAAGCTAGGGCAGACCTTAATATATATATAAAAAAAAAAAAAAGAACAAGAGGGCAGTACTGAGTGTGGAGTCCCCACCTCTGGTTAACATAATCACCTGCCTGCATTAAAAGAGAGGTTCCTTCTTCTGAGGTTGGCCTTTAGTATGGTAAAAGCAGGGCCCAGGGATTAGCATTTTAATAAGCAAATTCTTTACAGACAATCTCAAGTCATACCAAGGAAGACTCATATGTGACTCATAGAGGAGGCAAAAATGAGTATCAGAAACTCTGGCACCCCAACTTCTGTGGGCCCTTGTGTGTGAATGTGCATTTTTGTTGAATCTTAATGACTTAATCATTGCTGAGACATTGCTGTATGAATGTCTTTAAATGCTTGAGCATTAAATTTGCCAGAAGAAAAGAGGTATGAAGAGTTCCCTTTCCCAGATGTCTCATGGTTATCAAGAATGAGCTGTTGAACAGAATATAAGGTATTATTATATACTGAGATTCATTTACCCAACGGCTGATAGTTAATAAAGTGAACTTACTAACATTTGCTATTTGAGAGCTTCCAAAAACTCCTGACAGACACTGTTTCTGTTTTATAAGCGAATAACCAGACATTCAATACCACATAGTGGTTTAGCCAAGTGCATAGTAATTTACTCGAGTGTACATATCAGACATACACCTGGAAGGCCTCAAGAACTCCTGTTAGAGATGCCCCCTGCCTCTACTCTCTGCCCCTCAGGAAAGGAAAGTCATCAGAATTCCAGGTCCCTCCGAATCCCTTTGCACACTGTTGGTCTGAATAGACAAGTTATTCAAATATATGCACATTCTCAGAGTGTCACTCACAGTTAGCTTTGCCCCTCTGTCAAGTTGATGGAGCACGTGATCAATATAAAGGACCCTACAGCACAGATGGTAGAGTTTATTGTGAACTATCTAATGTATATGAAATGTGCAGGAGAAACAGAGAGCAATAGAGGACATGAATCTGTGCTGGGGCCACCTCCAAGACCCTCTGTATTTCTTCCTAGGGTATAGGCTGAACACAACCACTATTTCTTCAATTGTTATAACTTAAGTGGCTATATTATAATCTTTAAAACTACCTGTATATCTTTAGAAAGGACTAGAGTAGTCCTGCCTCCAATTTTATATTTTTGGTTGTGAACCTAGCCTTTAACAGCTGAGCCATCTCTCCAGCCCATACACCCAATTTTAAAAGGAAAATAACTTTAAGTCAGCTTCAGACAAATGCCTACTTTCCAACTTTACACTTATCAGGAATGAGTTCGGACCTTAGGTTTTGAAACCTGTTGTGATTTATTTCTTTTCTGAAAAACACCTTGCAAGCAAATGTCCTCGCAAGCATTGTCATTGCTGCTTCTGCAGATATTACAACTAATCTCTCTTCTGTTGAACTCACATTGTCCTGTTAGCACTTCTGCTGAAGGAACCAGGCTCTCATTCCGAGACTCTGATTTCATGGCTGATCTTGTTATGCCCATTCTTCCTTGACATTATAGAAATAAATGTTTGTGTCTTCCCTTTCCAGTGGGTGGTGCATTTTTACTGAGAAAAAGACATATGAGTCAGAAAGGCAGGGGTATTTTGGACAAAAGATCGAGTGCCAATTCAGATAAGCTGGGTAAAGTAGACTTCTTCCCACTTTTGAGTATTTTCAAATTTCCTGATTTGTGACTATGGCAATAACTGAACAGTAAGAGACCGGACTTAAGACATTTATCTATTCACCATAAAAAGTTCCCCTTACACTGAAGAACAACAGAGTCAAGATGGACGAAGTGCCAGGACTTTGCAGGAAGTTATGACTTCTTAGAAAATTTATTCTGGTAGTAGGTTCAACTAGTTTTGGGAGCCTAAGATCAAACTCTGTAGAGAAAGCATTTTCTTTATTTTTGGCAGATCTCGTCATTCAGCTCAAGCTGGCTTTGGACATGGATTCCTGAGTGCCCCGTACTACAGGGACTAAAGCACTAACAGTGCTTTCATATTATGTTCAAAGACAATATTTAATAAAATTGAGCATGTATTTTTTCTTAAAGATTGGCTTCTGACATGAAAGATTGTTATTGGGAGCAAAAATTCCTTCTAGGATTTTGATGCCAACATTTTCTCTACTATTAAAAGGAAGAAAAAAAAAACTACGAAGAAAAGAAATGCCATTGCTTTGGGGTTTAAACATTACTTTTGGGTGAGTCCAAGTCTTAATTCCTTTGGCTTATTGCCTAATACTGTCCTAAGTCGATGTGTCAAGAGGACAGAAGTGAGGCAGAAATGTGACTTCCCATTTCTTCTTGTCAGGAAATACAAACTAATCCTCATTACCCAAGTGGGAACAGAGGCGGCAGGATCAGATTTGATACTGACATATTTTTCTATTAATAATTTTAATTGGCTGAGGTCAATTCTACTTCTCCATAAGCATTTTATGTTTAATTGTGTTTATTGAAGTTTCTTGGTTACTCCTATCTCCACTCTTCTTTGAAAAAAAGTGTCTCGTATCAAATGAATTGACCCCAAGCACTGCTGAAAATTAGGGAAAGTAATTAGCATAGGGAAAATAGTATGTAAACAGAAAGCTTCCCTGGTGAGTAGACTGACAAAGATGTCTTCAAATCCATGCTGCATGACTTCCAAGGTCTAGTTTGGCCTTGAACTGTGTCATTCACAGTCTTTGAAATCATTGAATAAGGCCCTGTTCTGAGAAAAACACCTTAAGGGAAAAAATAGTTTCCTTATTCATTGGGTAGTACTTCTCTGTAAGATTCTTATAAAGAATAAAAATAACTACATCATATTTAGATGTGGCCAAATTGGCCAACACCTGTGGCAGGAATTATGTATCCTGGCGGTCCCAGTATTGAGAGATAAAAGCAAGAGAACAGAGCAGAAAAGATTACAAAGGCCTCAGTATTGAGTGTTGAAAAGGAGGGTGAAAAAAAAAATCCCATCTGGAAATACTTGTCTAGTTCAAGAAAAACACCATAAAAACCATTATGAAATTGCTGAGGCTAACCCCCTAAACATTCAAGAATTGTCTACTTGTAAACCCTCCTCTAAGTTACCAGATCTTCCTTGAGAACATGGAAAGATTAACAATGAAAGAGACATTGATTTACTCATTATAAGATGGTTATGAGCATAGTCACAAGGTCCAGAACTGTTGATCTGGGAAATAAAAGCTGGAGTTACTAACCAGAGTGGATGTTGGTTGTGCTGGGAGCAGAGCCATGGAAAGTGTGAATAAACTTAAATTACTGGCTTTCAGGACAATGAATCAGTTATCTAGAGTAGGGCACCTTATTTTTGAGATAAACAAGTTTTTAATGTGTGATGGTTTTGAGTGAGATA